AGGCCGACAAAATCTCAAGGCCGACCTAGGCTGCTTGCCAACACAACTTGAACAAAAACTCTGATTCAGAAAAATTAATATCTTGCAAGTGTTTTCTGTCATCAGCACCTACTTGATTTTTACTGTCTCTCTGTGCTTTGCAATTATCAATATCCCAAAGGGTTGCCAGTGCAAAGAAATATCTTCTACACATGGTAGTATTAGTTCTGGCTGATACTTGGTTTGACTCAAACCAAGAGGTAGGTCCAGAGAAGGGCTTATTTCTCTTGTACCTGTGTCTTTGGGACTGACACTTGGACATATAATCATGTATCTTATTCAAATATCTTACTGAAAGGTATATATGCCCTCTTTGCTTCATATCAGATAAATGGTTGCATACAGAGGTTGGTTGCCACCACTAGAGAGGATAAATCTTCATAACATGAGGCATATCTTTATCAACTTAAGAATAAAATTGGGAATTAATAAAGTTATCACAATATCATCCATGTTCAATATTTCTTACATTCAGCATTTATTACGTGTTAGGACCCCTCCATATATACAATCTATAGTAGCACTGCACTGTCGTCCCATTGTTCATCAATTTGCTCGAGTGGGTACCAGTAACGTCTCTACTGTAAGACTTGTTGTTACGGTTTTTGGTATTTTGAATATGCCATGAGTAGCTTGACAGGTTCTGCCGTGTGGGCAGGGTACTCTCAGTAGCTTGCTGGGCTCTCCGAGAGGGATAGAGGAATCGAACTTGGGTCAGCCTTGTGCAAGGCAAACGCCCTACCCGCTGTGCTATTGCTCCAGCCCATAATTTATAGTATTTAATTTAATCCTGTGAATACATTAATATTCTACAGAAATAAATGATGAATTTAGAGGAATAAGTAAAAAATATATTGGTCTTCCATTTATGTGTGGATTAATTCACCAGCCTTCAATTGATTCTAGTGATCTACATGCCTGTTTATATTCCAGTACTATATTGTTTTGATAACTGCAGCTTTATGTTATAATTTGAAGTCATGGAAAATCATTCTTTCAGTTTTTGTTTTTGTTTTTTCCTCAGGGATATTTTGGTTTTTGTGTTCTATAACAAATCGAGGCCCTTTCCCCCACTACTTCTATGAAAATGCCATTAGGATTTTTTTAAAAGAATTTTATTGACTCAATCTTGTTCTCCCTTAAACTATACCTCATGTGCTAGTCTCTGTCTCTTTGATGCCTATTTCCACTCTGGAGAGTATTATCTCTCAGACACATACTTCTCTCCTTCTCTCTTCTCACAGCCTCCTAAAATTTTTCAATTAAAAATTTTAATTTAATTTTAATTTAATTTAATTTTTCAATTAAAAATTTTGCTTCACCAAAATAAAAATGATTTTATTGAATGAGGGTAGGAATCATAGTTCTGTGGTGGGTAAGGTTATTGCCTTGCATGCAACTGAGCTGGGTTTAATATAGTAGTGACTTGCCATTTGCAATGATCTGTCTCTGTCTCCCAATACTATATTTTCGTAGTCCACTCGTATGTGAGAACTCTTAGTGGTTCAGTGAGAGAGGTACCCAGTATTGAAGACTTCCATTGGTGTCTTGAGTGTGAAGCTATGTAATAGATACCTCATCGCAGCCATGCAGTAAATGATACCGGTATTGGAACTTAAAGTCAGTGCTCCATTTGGTTCTCCTTCAATCTCTCTTACTTAATTCTCCCAGCAACCACAGCTCTGCTGGGCTGGAACTGGGCTGAGCCTTCAAACTGGGGTCCTATTATCCATAGCTTCAGATTAGTTGTGCAAGGTGTCTGTGCTCAAGGAGGTCTCACCTGTTCATTGAATGGGCTGCAGAAACCACTGGGTAGCCAAGGTTGACCACTATAAAGTAAAGTAAAGTAAAGTAAAGTAAAGGCCCTCCCATTGATCATCGATTTGCTCAAGCGGGCCCAGTAACGTCTCCATTGGAGACTTTGTTGTTACTGTGTCTGGCATATCAAATACTCTCGGTAGCTTGCCAGGCTCTCTGAGAGGGGCGGAGGAATCGAACTCGGGTCGGCCATGTTGGCTGCGTGCAAGGCAAACACCCTACCCGCTGTATAGCATCATTCAGAACTCATATTCTGTGACTGTTCTCCCTTAACTTGCTGAGATGCAAAACCACATTTTTCAATCAGGGCCTAGGAGAGAGTTCAGTGTTTTGGCCGAATATCTCTTTGAATATACTTTGCTGAATTTTTCTTTTGTCATCACTAAAGATCAATACTGGACCCTCAATATAAAATTCCTTCTTTTTGGGGGGGTCACACCTGGTGATGCACAGGGGTTACTCCTGGCTCTACACTCAGCACTTGCACCTGGTGGTGTTCAAGGGACCAAATGGGATGCTGGGAATCGAACCCAAGTTGGCCGCATGCAAGACAAACGCCCTACTTGCTTTTTCTATCACTCCAGTCCCCTACAGTTCCTTCTTATGGGAACCAATTCTAATTTTTTTCACCTTGTGTAAGACAATGAATCATTGTAATTGTAGATAACAAGTATAAATTTTCCACTTTGTCTTAGAGTACATTGGCTAATGTTGCTGTTGAAGAACTGATAAGAGATTAGTTTTCCGATATTAATTCCCACATAGCATCACCTCAAATAAAGTCACATTATAGCAGGGCAATAGTAGGCTAACATTCAAGGGATTCTCTGTCCCACATGTATTGCATGACCTGATGAATTAATAACAATTATGATCTGACACATGTGTTAAGGACACTGAATTATTGATAATGTCTGAATAATTGAAACATCTTTCTCCAAAATTATATCACAATAGTAATATATTTCTATTATGATAGGATGCCTATATCTATCCCTATCTCTGACATTAGAGTTTGGAGCCTTCATTTCACCAGATTAAAGACTTCATAGTGAAGACTGTCTTCTCTGGCCTTTACAGAATTCCTATCTTTCCCATCAGAACTTGACATAAAGAAAAGAAAAATTCAAGAGTGATAGGGTGAAACCAAGGTGGCCAAATAAGGGAAATCTGTGCAGCATTCTCCTATTCTCCAAAAATCTACAGCAAAATTGGATTACATACAGAAAACTGTGACACCTCATCAAATCTGGGAGCTAGAGAAACTCTTGCCAGCAGATTAACCTCCCCATGAAGATTACCAAGCAGCAGTTTAGAGGAGAAAGTTAAATGTACAACCTCATTTTCGTGTGGGAAATTGGGGATGTGGATCAATGACCTCCGGAAGAGAGCTCTTGCATGTGAAGACACCTGTAATTTTGTCCTAGTCATGGGGCTTAAGTATCAGCCCAGAACACCAACCCTACAATCCTACTTCTTTAATACATAATAGGAGACAAGAAGTTTCAAGACAAAGAGGTGTCTGAATAAGCACATAGATCTCTTGCAGCATTCCTTGTATGGAAGTGCCATCTCTGATCTCTCAAAAAAAAAAAACAGAAATATTCAGAAACTGGAGAGATAACACAGTATGTAAGGCAGAGCACTTATCTTGCATGTGGCCAACCTGGGTTCAATTCCCAGCATCTCATATAATCTCTCAGCTTGAAAATGGACAGTCCTTATTCCTCACAGATCCCTCTTTATTTCTTCTTAAGGAAAAATTTGTACACTATACATTTGACAAAGAATTAATAGCCAAAATATAGAAAACACTCACAAAACTAATAAAATGAGAATAACTGAATAGGTGCCTTTCCAAAGAATTCATATATATGGTTAACAGTCACGTGAAAATTTCTCAATAACCTCTAATTATTAGAGAAGTTTAAATTTAAAAAAAGTGAGAAATTTAAATCAAAACACCTCACACCATTGAAAATGACCTCTTGATCACTTGATCACTTGATATCCCGTTACTCATTGATTTGCTTGAGTGGGAACCAGTAATGTCTCCATTTTTCCCTGTTGCATGCTAGTGTAGCCCAATGGCGTCTGTTCGCTGAAAATGACCTATATCCCAAAAATACAGAAGGCAACCAGAGAGACAGTATTATGTTTACACACTTGTTTTATATATGGTTCGCCCCAGTTTGATCCCTGGCACTACACATGGTTCCCTGAGGACTGATAAATGTGATCCCTAAGTATGAAACCAACAGTAAGCCTGAGAGATCACCACTGTGTGGGGGGAAAAAATCATAAAAATACAGAAGCAACAGTAATGACAGAGATGTGGAGAAAAGGGAACTCTCTCTCATTGTTGGCTAGAAGGCATATTGACTATGAAAACAGCATGGAAATTTCTACAAAAAAAAAAAGCAGAAGAGTAAATGACCATATGGTCCAATCCTTCAATGCTTGGTCTCTATCTTAAGAACAAAAAAATATCAATTTAAAACAATAAGTATGTATATATATACATACATATACATATATATATATATATCCATTGCAGTAGAATTTATAAGTCAACATTTAGACATGCAAGTACCCAATAACAGACAAGTGAATAAAGATGTGTTACATCTACACAATGGAGTATAACTAAGATATAAGAAAAGATGAAATTTGCCCACTTCCACAAAATGAATGGAACAGTAAAGCATCCTGATAAGTGTAATAAGTCAGAGAAGAGTGACAAATACTGAATAATTTCAATAATATGCAGGATGTAAAGAAACAAATCAAGGAATATGCAATGATCAATGAAAATAAAGCCTTGGAATCTACCACATAACCAAGGTTACCTAAGTAGGGAAGTCTAAGCGAAGGGTCCTATGGAAGTGGTGATGGGATACTGGTACCTTGGTGATGAGTATGCTGTGATAATATTAAACCCCAAAAACATAATTTAAAAATTACACACTGTTGAAAAGAGTGCTGCAATGAACAAACAAGTGAAGATGTCACTTCGACTATACATGTTTGCCTCTCTGGGATATATTCCCAGGACAGGTTAAAGAAACTTTGGTACATCTACACAATGGAGTACTATGTAGCTGTTAGAAAAGATGAAGTCATGAAATTTACATACAAGTGGTATGGAAAGTATCATGCTAAGCGAAATGAGTCAGAAAGAGAGGGATAGACATAAAAAGATCGCATTCATCTGGGGTATATAAAGTAACAAAATAGGAGATTAATACCCAAGAATAGCCTAGATCGGTACCAGGAGGATTATTCCATGGCTTAGAGGCCAGCCGGGCATTCTAGGGGAAAGGGCAGCTCAGATAGAGAAGGGAGCACCAAATAAAGGGTGTTGGGAGGATCCTCCCAGGATGGGAGATGCATGTTGAAAGTAGACTATGGACTGAACATGATTGCCACTCAATGCCTCTTTTGCAGACCACAACACCCAAAAGGAGAGAGAGAACAAAAGGGAATGCCCTGCCACAGAGGCAAGGTGGGATGGGGAGGGGGATGGGGGTGGGAGGGATACTGGGATCTGTTGTGGTGGACAATGGGCATTGGTGGAGGGATGGGTATTTGATCATTGTATTATCGAAACTCAAGCACAAAAATTTGTAAGTCTACAACTGTACCTCATGATGTTTCACTAATAAAAATATATAAAAAAAAATTACACACTGGCAAGGCAATGTTATCTTAAGAAGTCAGAGCTAGATAGTAAGAAAAATGCCAAAGCATAAAGCTGGAGAGATAATACAACAATAGGGTACTTGCCTTGCTGGGGGCCAATGTAGGTTTGATCCCCAGCATGCTTTGAAGTTCTCCAAGCTTCCAGGAGTGATCCCTGAGCATAGAGTCAGGGGTAAGCCCTGAACACTACCAGGTATGTCCCCAAAACCAAAAAGGACAAAAGCTGTATAATAATCTCCCGGGGTGGCTAGGGAGAGGCCCGATAGCTCTCCTTCTTGTCACCCATGTTCGTGGTGGGCCCGGGGCCGCTCGCCCACCTGGGGCCGCCCGGGCCATGGGGCAGACAGTGGAAGAAACAAGGGCTAAGCCAGTTGATTGATCAGATGGCGTTTATCCCACACGCCTGCCCCAGTCTCTCTGAGCCCCCCATTCTAGTCTCCACTGCCCCTCATTCCCTTCTCCTCCTGTCTCTCCCGCTCATCTCTCCACACTCCCTCTCGCAGTCTGGGCTCTCTCTCTCCACACGCCTGCTCCTGTATGTTTCTTCTACATTCTTCTCCCTGTGTCCCCCTTGCTAGTCTCTGAGCACTCCATCTTGCTCGCTCTTTCTCACTCTCTCCATCTCTCTTCTCACTCCAACTTCCCAGCACTCTGGGCTGACACTGTACCCAATCAGGTTGCCAAATCAACATAAGAAAGCCCTTGTGAATGCCAGGCTCTAGGGCAGAAACATTACCTGGGGTATTCCAAAGTCCTTCCTGACTGCCCAGGGGCAAAATACCTCTTAAGATGTTTTTCTCCTTTCCTTAGTCCAGTAACTCTATCAACATCTTAATACTAGTTTTTTTTTTTTAATGGATACAGTAATAGATAACATTGAAGCTTGTAGGGCAGCGCTCCTGGGAACGTCTTGCCACAATTCAGACTACAGAGCTCAGGCCAGATTAATCTTTTCTAACCCTAGCAGGGTCCAAATCTAGTTATTACTTTTTGGATCATGGCAGCATTTGTCCATGACCAAGCTCTTAATTTATAGTTAAGCATTATGGCGCTTTGGCCAAGCAGATCGCGATACCAGGGTAGCATATAACTTACCGCTTACCCTGGTTCTATCCAGTCCCTCTCGGGACCCTGCTTTTGGGAGTGCTAGTGAAGCAAGGGCAGCTGAGGCTTAGGTTGAGAAAACAGATGCCCAGGAGGAAAATATCACTGAGAGTCATGTTACAAAAGCATAGCATATACTGTCTTCTTATGTCCATACAAAAAAAGGACATTGTTCTGAATAAACTATGTGAAGGACTTAGGGAGAAGAGAAAAACAATATTTACAAGTCAACAGAGCACAAAGAAAGAAGTTACAAATAAACACAAAGGAATGGGAGCACTGTAATGGGAGCAACCCAATAAACCTAAACTACCTGTATCTATGCAGGAAGGACAAAACAGTGTTATCCTACAAAAAGCAAAAGCAAACTTTGCTTGTGCTTTGTGCCTCATCCATTCTAATATCAAAGACGTCTCCTTGCCCTAAATCATCCAAAAGCCTCTAATATGGACACATCTCCAGATTTGTGCAAAAGAACATTGGGTATCTGTAGTTAAAAAATGACTTCAGGGGACTGGAGTGATAGTATAGCGGGTAGGGCGTTTGCCTTGCACGCGGCCGACCAACGTACGATCCCCGGCATCCCACATGGTCCCCCAAGCACTGCCAGGAGTAATTCCTGAGTGCATGAGCCAGGAGTAACTCCTGAGCATTTCTGGGTGCGACCCAAAAAATCAAAAAAAAATGACTTCATGATTAAGACCCTGAAATTCAAGTCTGTTTTCCTATCAACTTTAAATAACTGGAAAATCAGACTGCATTAAATAAATACAAATACAAGATAACATGAGGATTCGATTTCATATTCAAACAGGCATAAATCTTGGCCTCTCCAAAGTGTCTTTGGAATGGTTAGGAAGAACATTTAAAAATCATGAAACTATGCATGTAGGGACCAGCACCGTGTGGCCTCAAACTATGATTTTATGTGTATTTATGTCCCTATAGTTACAAAGGGACTCCATGTTCTTAACCTCTAAGACATCTTGCTCTTTGACTTCATCAGATACAGAAATTGAGACTTCCTGTCATTCTCCTCCCAGAGGATAACAATGCCTGTGTTCTTGCTCTCTGCAGGGAGCATGCTATTGCATTTGAGACCTTCTGTCTCATGCACTGTACAGACACCTTATGCTAATTGGCAAGGTACCCTGTGGAGTTGATAGAGTAATAAAGCCTTCTCTTCAAAGGCAACTTGAAAAGTCAGAATCTTTTCTTGACAGTTCTCTGATGAGCTGTAAGTGTTCAGCACCATGAGTAAATCCAACCATGCCAGATATTCCTGCTTTTCCTGCATGAAGATGTGTTGAGGTCCTTATACTACAATCATCTCTTGATATAGATTTTTTTAAAACTGATTATGTGAGTTCTATTCAAATATAGTTAAGCATTTTAATCCCTGTTGGCTTTTAGTGCCAGTTTTAAATATGCAGAAGAAAGCATTTTATTAATTAAAAATTTTTGTTCCTTAATACTTTTTATAATAGGCTACCTGAGTAAAATTTGCTATTAATTAAGTGTATCAAATATATTGTTAGAATAAATGTGTTTGTGATTCCTTTTTTTACTGGTAGCTATTTTTATTATTATTATTATTATTATTATTATTATTATTTTGCTTTTTGGGTCACACACAGCTATGATCAGGAGTTGCTACTGGTTATGAACTCAGGAATTACTACTGGCAGTACTTGGCGGACCCTATGGGATGCCGGGAATCAAACCTGGGTTGGCCGTGTGCAAGGCAAATGCACTACCAGCTGTGCTATTGCTCCAGCCCTGGTAGCTATTTTTAATATATGGGATAAGTTCATGCAAATAAACATCTGAAAATTATTTTATTTTTAATATTCTGGCACAATAGTCACTAGTAGAATATCAACAGCAAATGGGATGATTTTTAAATAGATTTATAATTTTATTGACATTTATATTGAGGATTATTGCTTTTCTTTGTAATCTTCAGGACAATTTTTTTTCTTTATTTGGTTTTGGGGCCACACCTGGCAGTGCTCATGGATTACTCCTGGCTTGGCACTCAAGTTCTTATTCCTGGGAACTTGGGGGGCCATATATGGTGCCCAAGACTAAATCCTGGTCAGCCACATGCAAGGCAAGCAACCTATCCTCTGTGCTGTCTCTTTGCTTCCAATATTGTCCTTTATGTTTGAATTTCTATTTCCGTATTTTATGTAAAATCATTTTGCCAGGCTGGGATGATCCTTATACACAGACTCAGGATTTCTCCCTGAGTACTGCCAAGTGTAACAGAAACACCAAAATAAGAAAATGCTAAAGACAATATTTTATTTGTACGTAAATTTTAATTGTAGGATCAAAGACTAAAAAAGATGATTTTATCTCTTGGGGAACTCAGTGACTATTTGTACAACATCCCTCATAGAAGTCATATAAACTATTGTCAATTACCTGCAGAGACAAACACTAATACTGGGTATTTCTAGAGTGTTCATCAATATTCAGTCAAAAATCAATTGACAATATTGGAATTTTTTATATTTAATTTTACCTTTATAAAGTAATTCACAATATTTGATGGTTTTATATTTAGATAAATTAAATTAAAAATATATTGAGTCATTTATATTATTATTCAAAAATTTAAAATTTCTGGGTGCATTTGGGTCACACCAGAATGTGCTCATAGCTTACTCCTACTCCAAGGTAAGTGCTATTTCTCTGGTCCTCAATAAAAATAAATTTATATCTCCACACTTGAATAAAAATTACGTTGTTAATATCTTTTATGGAAGTAACAAGAGTTACAGGAGTAGAACATAGGAAAGGTTCATAAGTAACAACACACTGGTTAATAATTTACCTAATCTTGTATACCCTGTACTGAATGAAACCACCCTATTCAAAATCAGATTTATTTCTATTTTAGGACTTTATCATGTTTATCTAGGTCATTGTTTGGGGAAACAAAACTGAGAATAATATAAAGAAAGAAGAGCAGAATTGATTTTAAACATATTAACAAATTTTTGAAAAAACGTGGTCAGCTAAGGTGTGACAATATTCTAGTTAGAAATTTTAGTCTCTGTTAAGATTAGTAACACAAAGAATGTGTTTTTAAAATTTCTATTGAGTTATCAAGCAAAGGCTTTCAACAAACTTGTTTTAAATCACAAAAGCTCATTGAAAGTGTTTTTGAACAATGTTTTTATATCCCATGAACTCTGATCACAGAAATTGATTTTTTAAAATTTTTTAAAATACCATGAACATAAACTCAGTTTTCTTCTATCATAGGGACTCGGGAGGCAATATGACATTTATCACAGAGTTCACGCTATCAGGATTTCCCCTTGACCCAAAGGTTCAAGCATTTCTCTTTGGCCTCTTCTCTCTATTCTACGCCTTCACCCTGCTGGGGAACGGGGTCATCCTGGGGCTCATCTCCCTGGACTCCAGACTACACACCCCCATGTACTTCTTCCTGTCCCACCTGGCCATCGTGGACATCGCCTACGCCTGCAACACGGTGCCCCAGATGCTGGTCAACCTCCTGGATCCAGCCAAGCCCATCTCCTTTGCCGGCTGCGTCACGCAGACTTTTCTCTTTCTAACATTTGCAGTCACAGAATGTCTTCTTCTGGTGGTGATGTCCTATGATCGGTACGTAGCCATCTGCCACCCCCTCCGCTACTCTGTCATCATGAGCTGGAGAGTGTGTAACATCCTGGCGGTGGCCTCCTGGACCTTTGGAGTCCTTTTATCCATGGTTCATCTAGTGTTACTGCTCCCCTTACCCTTCTGTAAAGCTCAGAAAATCAATCACTTTTTCTGTGAAATTATGGCTGTCCTCAAACTTGCCTGTGCAGACACGCACATCAATGAGATTATGGTGTTGGCTGGAGCAACGTCCGTGCTGGTGGGACCCTTTTCCTTCATTGTAATCTCATATACCTGCATCCTCTGTGCCATCCTTAGGATACAGTCAGGCGAAGGTCAAAGAAAAGCCTTCTCCACCTGCTCCTCCCACCTCTGTGTGGTCGGACTCTTTTATGGGACTGCCATTATCATGTATGTTGGGCCCAGATATGGGAACCCAAAAGAGCAAAAGAAATATCTACTCTTGTTCCACAGTCTTTTTAATCCCATGCTCAATCCTCTGATCTACAGTCTTAGGAACTCAGAAGTGAAGAATGCCTTGAAGCGTGTTCTGGGGAGAGAGGGTGCTTTATGAGAGGATGATGGTCTCAGGGTTGATAGTGACCTCAGAAAACATTTATCCCCATAGATTCCAAATTCAACTCGGCATGAGAATTACCTGAAACATTTATTTAAAATAGAGCTGTCACCTTTTTCTGCTCTGGAGAAGCCTGTGTTCTCTCTTACAAATATTCCTCTTTTTCTCACCTCTCTCTGTATGTATTTTTTCATATAAACTATTTTGCTTCACTGAAAAATGATAAAATACAATAGATCTATATTCTGGGACATATTAATATCATGGATTTCATAAACATGTTTGTACTTTGGAAATGTCTTCAGATATCTATAGCAATCTATATCTTTATGACATCTTATTATCTCATTCCTACTTTGGACAAACTTGCAGGCTATCGAATGTAGCCTGCCCACAGGGCAGAGTCTGGCAAACTCCCCGTGGCGTACCAAATATGCCAAATACCAGTAACAATGATGGGTCTCATTCTCCTAAAGAGCCGTGAATATAATCTCAGGGCTAGGATGAAAGAGACGTTACTGGGGCCTGCTCGAGGCAATCGACGATTAACAGGATGATGAAATGAAATGAAATGAAATCTATAGCAAGGAAGATAGTAGATGGACCAGGATTTAGAAGACATGAATCTGGAAAATTATCCTAAATAACACGCACATCAAACTCTGGTTCCTACCCCATATCTTCAAAAATGTTTTAAGCAAATGCTGTATCCTCAAGAGGATAACTAAATGGTGATCAATTAAGATTGAGAATTATTATTTTTTCAGATACCTCATCTTAGAATTCACAATCCCTTTGTTTTGTGAAAATTACAAAACTCACTGCAATAAAAAATTCCAACTTCTCTTTCCAGATATATTTGATTACATGCAAGTAATCAAATACATCATATCATACAAGGAACTGTAAGAAATTCTTGATCTTGATAGACTCATCATAAATGCTTCGGTAATGTCCTACTCAAAATAATTTATTTCTACAAGGGAAATTTCTGAAAAGGATGTAAATCTAAATGCAACACGCTAAATCATCTATGAAAATCTTTACTTTCTTTAACTGCAGAAGGCTAATACCACTGATTCTACACTCACAGAGCAATCTGATGTTTTGTCAGCATTTTTACATATATTTCAAAGGATGACCTTGTTCAAGTGCACAATCTTCTAATCCTGACATAAAAAATCACTCCGTATGTATTTTCCTGTTTATGGTTGCATGACACAAATGTATTTATTTTCTGCCTTGGTCTTTAAAGATAAAGGCACGTTTCTCAGGGAAATCAAAAAGACTTTTCTAAATCTACAACCAGCTTACTGCATAAAATCCTTTAAAAGGTTTCTCAATTGGTGCATTTAAAAAATAAAGATATAGGAAAATCTCTATAAAGTCATGTTCACAGGAATATGTACAAGATGAATAAAGTAGATTTTAGAAAAGGAAATAAATGCAAAATACAGTGTCCAAGGACTATTCAATCTTTTGCATATTAAGAAAGAAAAGAACTAGAGAAAATGCATGATTTATTAATCTATAGTTGTATTTTAAATTAATGTATCTCAAGTGATACATTTAAAAACAGAAATTTGCTGATACTTTGTGTAGAATACTACATACATTACTGTGGTTTTTAAAAAAAAAAATGTGTTAAGTGAAGTTCCCGTGCATTTGCAAAGATTTTTTTCTAATAATTTTTTTAATGTTGGATCAAGGTTTTCTGTGGCTAAATAAATCAATAAAATAATATTAGCTCCTCTTGTCTACTCCTGGAAAACAAAATTAGTTTCGAAGTGATTTAAAACAGTGATCTCATCTCATGAAAAGCAATAAGACTTGGAGGTAAGTTAGAAATTTTAACAATATAAGAATATATACATATGTATATATTTTTGCTTTTTGGGTCACACCCAGCTATGCAGAGGGGTTACTCCTGGCTCATGCACTCAGGAATTACTCTTGGCAGTGCTCGGAGGACCATATGGGATGCTGGGAGTCAAACCCGGGTTGGCCGCATGCGAGGCAAATGCCCTACATGCTGTGCTATCACTCCAGCCCTATTTTTATTATAACAAACACTGGAGTAATTTTTGGGGGGGAGATGTACCATTGGATCATCTTGAAACAGTGTCAATTAGTTTTAAGAACAGGGGTTTAAAAGGAACTACATAATTGCACTAAAAGTATTTTATGTTATTGAGCAAGTGTAATTTCAATCAAAATATTAGTGGTCTTGTGTGTGCGGATTTTAAGTCACAGCTTCAGGGATTTTCACTGCAGCAATATGATTTGGGATTTGGATTACTGGATACGAGTGAGTTGGTAAGATTCGCACGTTGAATATAAATAATTGTGTCAACAGGAGGGTTCATTGGAACAAGAATGTGACTTGAAAGATGGAGTTCTGGCCACTGCAGGGAGGAGATTTGCAGCATAATGCTGGGAGTAAAGGGTTCGTAGGCTCACTGGGCGCTAAAATCAGTCATTTTAAAATCTAAAGATATACCTATTATTATTATTATTATTATTATTTTCTTGGGTTTTTCTTCACACACGGTGATGTCACACCCACCAACTGGCCCCCTGGCACCGTGTAATCCCATCAAAGGCCAAGACTCAGAGACTATAAAACCCAGCTCCCGGAAGCACGGCCACATTTGCGGCCACGTGACATCTTATCATCTCATTCCTACTTTGGACAAACTGGCAAGCTACGAAATGTAACCTGCCCACACGGCAGAGTCTGGCAAACTCCCCGTGGCGTACCCAATATGCCAAATACCAGTAACAATGAAGGGTCTCATTCTTCTAACTCTGAAAGAGCCTTGAATATGGCACTTTTTTAAAAATCTCAGGGTTAGGACGAAGGAGACGTTACTGGGGCCTGCTCGAGGCAATCGACGAATAACAGGATGGTTGTGATCGTGATCGTGATCGTTTATGGGATTAATGTTTAGTAATTAACAGACTTAGGCTTACTTGAGCCAAGAGGAAAAAAATACTAAATTTCTATGCAATTCCCAATAGTCAGTTAATTAAATTTTTATTTGAGCATAAATGTTTATCTTGCGCTGCATTTACATATTATGGGCACTGCAGAGTACTGACAGTACTGATACCACTGCATCCTGGGTATGTAAGCAGAGTTGTGGTCATCTTGGTTGCATGTCTCCCTAGAGAGGGTGATGAGGAGATCCATGACCTCATAAATTGTTAACCACAGATGTTTAAATGAAAGATTTTCAAATCTGAGCATTGCAAGGAGCAACCCTGAGCACCACTGTGTATAACCCAACCCTCCTCTTATCCCCCCAAAGACAAGAAAAACAAAAACTGACATTGCATTTTCTGTACCATAAAATGTTAAACTTCACAAAGATGAAAAGAATCACAATGGCAAAAAAAAAAAAACAACTTCTGCTGAAAACAGCTGTCCTAAAACAAAATACTGTCCTCCCATTGCTCATCGATTTGCTCGAGCGGGCACAATAAGGTCCCCATTTTTGAGACTTGTTGTTAATGTGTTTGGCATATCGAATGCATCACAGGGAGCTTGCCAGGCTTTGCCATGCGTGTGAGATACTCTCAGTAGCTTGCCGGGCTCTCCGAGAGGCTCTCCGAGCTCTCCGAGAGGGGCAGAGGAATTGAACCCGGCTCAGCCAGCTGGCTGCGTGCAAGGCAAATGCCCTGAAAACAGCTATGAAAGTTTAAAACCCCAATTAATTGGATAGGTCCAGAACCACTTTTCTTTCAATTAATCTGAATTTGATCATGATAGAGAAAAAAAAACTTTTTTAAAATAATCTGGAGTACTATTTGTTCAGCCATTGATTAAGCTGATTGAATTGTGCATGAACTCCACATTACTTTTTTTTATTTTATTTTATCACCATGAGATAGAGGTGCAAAGTTTTCATGTTTGAGATTCAGCCATATAATGATGGAATACCCATCCCTCCACCAGTGCACATGCTGCACCACCAATAACCCCTCTCCCCCAAAATTCCAGTCCTCACCCTGACTCTATGGCAGACAATTTCTACAATACTCTTTCTAATTTTGGGCATTATGCTTTACTCGAATTTTACCACCACCATTTAAGCCTACCTGCCAGGAGCAAATGCTAGATAATTTATTTTCCTTTGCTCATTTTGAGTATTATAAGAGCTCACACGACTGGGATTATGAATATGAATTTCTAGATTGTAAATCGTTGGGTTCCAGAGACATCTCTATATGGCACTAATCCATTTTGAGATTCACTTGGAAGTCTCTGGATCAGGGCTGCTAGTGCACTAAGATGGCACCCAGATGCAAATTGTGGGTGTTGCAGCCAGTCTCCTGGGTGGGTGTGGATCTGAGGAGGTACAGCCCAGGTCCTTTGCCACCATGTGTCCTGGTGATTCAGTCCTGGAAGCCGCATACCAGGACCCTAGCTTGTGGAAGCTCTTGGTCACCGGAATTCCATCTGGAGCAGGCGGGGAGACTGCACCTGCTCCATCTGGGATGCCCTGGTGAAATTGGCTCGGTATAAGGCCCGGAGAGATCTCTGATACTGTGATGCCTTCCAGGACTCGCTGCTGTATCTCTGCACCAGAGCTGTTAGTGCACCAAGATGGCACCCGGAGTCAAATTGTGGGCATGACAGCCAGTCTGATGGGTGGGCAGGGACCCAGGGAGGGACAGCCTAGGTTCTCTGCTGTCATGCATCCTGGAGATTCAGTCCTGGAACCCACATACCTGGGCCTTGCTTGTGGAAGTTCTTGGTCCCGGGATTCCATCTGGAGCAGGTGGGGAGACTGCACCTGCTCCTTCTGGGATGCCCCAGTGAAATTGGCTTGGTATGGGACCTGGAGAGATCTCTGGTGCTGTGGTGTTTTCCAGGACCCACTGCTGTGTCTCTGGGCCAGGGGTGTTGGTGCGCTAAGATCCATATTACAATATTTTCAGCAGATTACAGGGTAGCTCTGGAGTTTGTTCGTGGGGGTGACTGCAAGTTCTTC